TTCTGATGTCCAGCACATGGGCAGGTCAAAGATGCTGGTTTGCAGTTGCAGGCACCCACAGACAGCTGGCAAGCTTCGGGTGACATCCTCCCGGGGGTGGGGACAAGCACAGACAGCCACTGGAGGTGAGGCGGCATCGGGGTGGGGCAGGGAGCAGTGAGGGGCTTTCAGAAATGCCAGGAGTGCCAGCTGTGCCCAGGACGGGGCACGGTGAGAGGCGGGCCTTTTTGTTCACTGAGGGGCCCGTGTTGGCCCTGCTTATCTCTGCAGCACCTGCGGAGGGCGAGGCCCAGGCTGTGATCTGAGGCACAGTCCTTGATCTGGGGGCGCAGTGCATTACCTGGTGTGCACTTTATGGCCTGGGTGTGGGTTATGATGGTTATAGAGCATAATCAACGAACTCTTATGGTCTAGTTCTCACTCTCAGACAACCCGGCAGGCTACCAAGAGTCTCCTGCCTGCATAAATGTCTGACTGGGAACACCTGTAAAGGTGATTAGAGGCTGTCCCAAAAGCCTCCATCCCTCTTGGAGAGCCTGGCAAGCTACCGAGAGTATCCCGCCCATATGGCAGAGCCTGGCAAGCTACCCATGGTGTACTCAGTATGCCAAAAACAGTAACAATAATGGTCCTCATTCCACTGACCCTGAAACAGCCCCCAATATGCCATTGGGCTACACTAGCACGTGACAGGGATGGATAGAGACATTACTGGTGGCCGCTCACGCAAATCAATGAACAACAACGGGGTGATAGTGATAGTGATAGTGATAGAGCATAATCTGGGCTCATAGATCATCACTGGCATGGCCATGTGTGGGAGCGGGGGAGTCTGTGCTGGTGGTGCTGTAGGGTAGAGTCTAGGGGCTGGGCAGATGCGGCAGAGCCCTGGACAGTGGGCCATTGCACTCGGGGTGGCCTCGTAGCCACAGAACCCATGTCTGCTCTCTGGGCCTGGCTCTGGGCCTGCTCCCCTGTCCTGGATCCAGCCATCTGCCAAGTCTTGCTCTGGATGGTCGGCCCTGTCTGCCCCTGGTCAGTCTCTCTGGGTGGTCAGCCCTATCTCCCCCCATCAGTCTCTCTGTGTCTCTCTGTGTGGTCGCCCCCCCCCCACCTGTCAGTCTCTCTGGGTGTCGGCCCTGTCTCCCCCTGGTCAGTCTCTCTGGGTGGTTGGCCCTGTCCCTCCCTGGCCAGTCTCTCTCTGGGTGGTCAGCCCTGTCTCCCCCCATCAGTCTCTCTGTGTCTCTCTGTGTGGTCGCCTCCCCACCTGTCAGTCTCTCTGGATGGTCGGCCCTGTCTCCCCCCGGTAAGTCTCTCTGGGTGTCGGCCCTGTCTCCCCCTGGTCAGTCTCTCTGGGTGGTTGGCCCTGTGCCCCCCCTGGCCAGTCTCTCTCTGGGTGGTCAGCCCTGTCTCCCCCCATCAGTCTCTCTGTGTCTCTCTGTGTGGTCGCCCCCCCCACCTGTCAGTCTCTCTGGGTGGTCGGCCCTGTCCCCCCACCCACCGCCGTCAGTCTCTCTGGGTGGTCGGCCCTGTCTCCCCCCGGTCAGTCTCTCTGGGTGGTCAGCCCTGTCTCCCCCCTGGTCAGTCTCTTTGGGTGGTTGGCCCTGTGCCCCCCTGGCCAGTCTCTCTCTGGGTGGTCAGCCCTGTCTCCCTCCGGTCAGTCTCTCTGGGTGGTCGGCCCTGTTCCCCCCCCCCACCGCCTCAGTCTCTCTGGGTGGTTGGCCCTGTCTCCCCCCGGTCAGTCTCTCTGGGTGGTCAGCCCTGTCTCCCCCCTGGTCAGTCTCTTTGGGTGGTTGGCCCTGTGCCCCCCTAGCCAGTCTCTCTCTGGGTGGTCAGCCCTGTCTCCCCCTGATCAGTCTCTGGGTGGTTGGCCCTATCTCCCCCTGCCCATTCTCTCTCTAAGGGCCTCCATACACCTGCAGACAGGTGTTCCGCATTTGTGGGTGAGCCTCAGGACTTGGCTGTGTTCACTGCACACCCCCTTCATGGCCTCAGCACAGGCTGCTGGTCCCCTTCCTCCAACGCGCAGCCTCCCTCCACAAAGGGATCCTCTGGGGGTGCTCAACAGAGCACACCCTGCTGTCAGAGTGAGTGAGAGCAGCGAGCCACTGGAAAGATGCGGAAACTGAGTCTTGGCAAGTGTGCGGCACACAGAGACCAAGTGTTTGTGTGCGACGCGGTAGCCCAACGCTGTCGCTTGATTAAGGCATCCCAGGTCTGGCCAACCCGCTTCAGCTGCCTTACCCCTGGACAGCACCGGGGGCAGCGTTGGACCTTCTTCGGGCTGGGGGCATTTGTCATGGGCCTTTTTGTCTTTCAATTATAGACACATTTGTTCCAAGCAATCTAGGAGCCGAGCAGCCTGCAATCCAGTTGGGGCCCAGTTGCAATTGCTTACCCGGGGTTTAATAAGCTGTGTGTGCTCGGCGGGGAGTCGCCAGCAGCCGAGAATGCTACCCGCTCTATCAGGTGCCGGAAATTTCTCTGGGTCTCAGAGACCACACTCGGCCTTCTGCACCGCACTGAGGTCAAGCATCTTCCACTCTGGCTTATGTGCTTGAGCAAAACAATCAAAGAAACACGCTGCATAAGTGAGGGGGAAATCAATATAATGGGCTTTTAGGACTAATGAAAGACCATCACTGTTAGGAAATTGGATGAAGGGGCTGGAGTGATAGCACAGCGGGAAGGGTGTTTGCCTTGCACACGGCCGTCCCGGGTTTGATTCCCAGCATTCCATATGGCCCCCCCCAGCACCGCCAGGAGTAACTCCTGAGTGCAGAGCCAGGAGCAACCCCTGTGCATTGCCGAGTATGACCCAAAAAGAGAAAAAAAAGAAAAGAAAAAAATTGGGTGTAATCGAATCCACGCATCTCAGATTGGCAAATTTAAGGGGTGCTGATGCCATTGCAAAATGTCCCTCACCTTAGGCAAAAGTTTTTCAGGGCTTGTCTCCAAATATTGAACCATTTGGGGAAGGATAAGGAATTCTCCTACTAATAAGAGAAGAGCTATTTTCTGCTTCCCACGGAAGGCTTCAAGATGCTTTCTTTTCCTTAGTAGATTCTTTCCTTTTTAGTCAGCATCTCATACACATGCATGGCCAGGACTCCTCTACCTTCGCTGCTGGAATCTTTGATGGCAGATCCCAATCATTATTTTTTCTACCCCAAACTCTGATTCATCGAAACTCCTCTCACAGGAATGCCGAGTGGCGTCCTGGTCTTTCTCTAAGGCTGCCACAGCTCTTGTGTTGCCGGCGCATTTTCTGGATTTTCCTCTGATCCCATTGACTGTGCACAGCCACTGGCGAGCGAGAGCATCTTTGATTTCAGTGGGCTAAAGCTGCAGGTGACTTGGACCATTTTCATGAAATGCACGTTGCACTTCCAGCTAAATCATATCATCACTCACCCTCACTGTGTGGGATAAAGACATCCAGAGAAGTGAGGAATTCTTGCATTGTAAAAATAAAATGGCAGGACAGGGGCTGGAGTGATAGCACGGCAGGGAGGGCGTCTGCTTTGCATGCGGCTGACCCAGGTTCAATTTTCAGCAACCCATGGGGTCCCCTGAGCACTGCCAGGAGTAATTCCTGAGTGCAGAGTCAGGAGTAACCCCTGTGCATTGTCGAGTGTGACCCAAAATGAAAAATAATAATAATAATTTTTAAAAAATTAAATGGCAGGACAGTGGTGGGCAAAGACAGAAAAAAAGACAAAGTCTAAAAGAAGGTTTCCTTTTCTTTCATCCTGAGAGGGATAAAATCTTTTTTTTTTTATCTATTTTTTAAGGGCTGGAGCAATAGCACAGCAGGTAGGGCATTTGCCTTGCACATGTCCGACCCAGGTTTGATTCCCCCACCCCTCTAGGAGAGCCCGGCAAGCTACCGAGAGTATCCCTCCCATACGGCAAAGCCTGGCAAGCTCCCCGTGGAGTATTCGATATGCCAAAAAACAGTAATAAGTCTCACAATTTGTTGTGGAACGTTACTGGTGCCCACTCGAGCAAATCGATGAACAATGGGAGGACCATGCTACAGTGCTATTTTATTTTATTATTTTTATTTTTAATGAATCACATTAACTGTATAAGGTACTGTATAACTGTATAACTGTGTAAGGTACAGTTACAGACTTACAAACTTTTGTGATTACATTTCAGTCATACAATGATTGAGTACCCATCCCTTCACCAGTGCCCATTCTCCAACCCCAGTGTTCCCAGTTGGGAGGGTTAGAGTCTTAAGAAGACATATTTGAAGATAGTTAAGTTCATCCAAAGAGTCTAAGATGCACTAGAGCCTCCGTGCACACCCTCTTTCCGGGCCCATCCTACTTGCTCAGTATCTCGAGTCCTCAGGTCATCAGCGCGTCTCCTGGGTCCCCTGGGAAGCAGCAGCTCAGATGGGCACTGGCGACTGGGCACATTGTACAACCCACACTCCGCGAGGCTTGAATTGGGTGGGCGTCTCGCTCTGACTCACTGGCAGACGGTGGAGACGGTGGCATCTAGGTGGCCACTTCCTTGAGGACACCAGCAAGAGGCCTTCCTACAGCACGCAGGAAGGCCAGCAGGGGGAACCCTCCTGGCCATGGGGCGTGGGAGTGGGGAGGAGTTGGCTAACTCAGCTGGGCTGTCAGCGGGAGACTAGTTAGCAAACAGAGCTGGCAGCTTGCGTTTCTGGAGCCAGGAAAGCAGGTGAATAAGGGGGCAGAAGTAGACAGGGCGAGGCCGCAGGTGCAGAGGCAAGCCAGGCAGGAAGGACCCCAGATCTCACGTGCAGCAGTGCGGGCTACGGTGGACTGTCGCAGATGCCCTGGGCCAAAGGGCCATCTTCGGCACCCCCGTCTCTCAAGGGCACCTGGGTGGCTTCTTTTGGGAGTCGCATCCTGGGGAGGCTCCGGGAGGGGGATCTGCTGCACCCCGAAAGCTCGAGGACCCACCCTGTGCTCTTGGGGGTGCCGGTCACCCAGCTCACTGTCTCTGTCTGCCCGCAGGTGACCTCATCCACTTACCTCCATACCTCCGCATGGACTTTCTATTGAACAGAAGCGGCCCGGGCCCCAGCCGGGACCTCAGCTTGGGACAAGCGTGCTTGGAGCCTCAGAAAAGTCGGACCCTCAAGCGCCCCACGGTCCTTGAGCCCATCCCCATGGAGGCCGCCTCGTCCAGCTCCTCCACGAGGGAGGGACAGCAGTGGCAACAGGGAGCCACCGCCGCCGCTGCCGCTGCCGCTGCCGTGGCCACCCTACCTCCACGCGAGGGGGCCGAGCTGGGCCAGGCGGCCAAAATGAGCAGCTCCCAAGAATCCTTGCTCGACTCCCGGGGCCACTTGAAAGGAAATAACCCCTACGCGAAATCCTACACCCTGGTATGACACACAGCAGGACTGGACAGCGGTTGTAAATACGATTTAAAAAAAAATTCAATCCAAGCTACCTTTTTTTTACGGAATTCCAATATTTATAATTAAAGAAAATTGCCAAAATATATTAAAAAAAAAAAAGGAAAAGATACTGAAAACCCCAGACAGTGCAAAGACTCTCCCGCGTTTTTTCAGTCTGAGTGTGAACTCCATCTGCCTGGGCGTCTGATTTTTGGGGAAAGAAGTCCAGTTTTATGATCTTCACAGGCTACTGCATTTTTACTGATTTTCTACAAAGTGCATGGGGACTAATTCCACCTTCTGACTAGAAGTTTGAGCACACAGGATTCAAGAGAGAGGATGGCAGGGGGGCAGGGGGACGCACCCCCCCCCCCCCCCGTTGGGAATCTCCGAGGACCATGCGTTGGGGGAGGGGACGAGCTGTCGTGTTTGCACACTTTGCTTTCCCATTGGACACGGGCTCTTCAAGCGGACCTTCTTCTGTTGTTAACGAGGACAAGTGCCGTCGGGGGCAGGGCGGGTGGGGGAATCGATTTGATTTTCCTTCGGTTTATTTTTTAATTTCCTGAGACACTCTTTGCATTTTGTCTAAGCGAAATAAACAAGAAAAGGTGAGCTGCCTTCATTCCGCTGTCTGCTTCTCTCGCTGATGACACTCAGGCCTGCCTGCCACGCCCCGTTTCCCAGAGAGGCTGGCCGGGACCCAAAGGACACAGGTGGCCCCGGTTATGGGAGGGCTGACCGGGCGTCCTAAACCTCCCAAATGCTCTGCTCCTGGCTTCCCTCACAGCTCTGGGAATTCACGCTACACCAGGATTCCACACACTCGGGAGTCGTCAGGCCAGACTCGGCCCACTGCTCCTTATCAATAAAATTTTACTGGGGGTCCAGAGGGATAGCACCGGGTCGGGTAAGGCACTTGCCTTGCATGCAGTCAGTGGCCCCCTAAGATTCCCCCTGAACACCATCAGGAGTGATCCTGAGTGCAGAGACAGAAAAGTAAGCCCCGAGCACTGCCAGCTCCCAAAGCCCAATAAATGAATACTTGTTTAAATCAAGTTTGATTTGGATGTGGCCACATGCACCATTTGGCTGGCTCCCTGCTGCCATGGTGGAGGGGAGTAGTCATTCCCTGGGGGGTCTGGCCTGCACAGCTGACAATACGGACCAGCTGCCCCTTCCAGGAGTGGCTCAGACCCCTGCTCTGCAGGCCTGAAGTCCTGCCAGTTTGCAGGAGAAAGGGAGAGTCCCTGCCCCACGGCTCACACCGGCTGGTGTCTGAGTCGGCAGTGGACGCTGGCGTGCTTGCTCTACGCCCAGGTCAGCCGTCAGGAGAAGCCGCCTTTCCCTGTGCCTGGCTCCAGGAGCCTCCTACTCGTATCCTGTGGATGTTTTTCACGTGCTTGTCTGGGAGAGGACAAACTCCACCAGGGTCTGAGGCCCCTGTGGGCTGCCTCCTTCCCGCACCCCACGATGCCTTCCTGTGTGCTTTGATGAGTATGTGGAATCATCCCATGCCCCCTTCCTTTAGAGTAGGGACACAGGTCTCCTGGTAGGGTCTGACCTAGTACCTCCCCCCACAATTCCCCCCCACAACAGGCTCCAAAGGCCTGCAGCTGCCAAGCTACACCTGCTCCTGTAAGTACCTACGGACACCTACAGGTACCTGTGAGTACCTGTGGGTATCTGCAGGTACCTGTGAGTACCATCAAGTACCTGTGAGTACCATCAAGTACCTGTGAGTACCTATGGGTGCCTGCGAGTATCTGTGGGTATCTCCAAGTGCCCGTGAGTACCATCGAGTGCCTGCAAGTACCTGTGAGTACCTGCAGATACCTGTGAGTACCTGTGTGTACCTGTGAGTACTTGTGAGTACCTGCAGGTAGTTGTGAGTGCCTGTGGGGCACCTTGCTCCCCTTTCACATTTCTCATGAGGCCTGTGAGACTCCAGCACAGGCTGTTACTGAACTCGAACACTTTTCCTCGCCTTCCTCCTTCCTCCTGTCTCCCTCTCCCCTTTCCCCCCTCCCCCCTTCCTTTCTTGCCTCCATCTGTCTTCCCACAAAGCAATGTCATCCAGCAAAACCAAAGGTCCAAAATTGTGTGATGATTCCTTCCCCAGCCCTATCCCCAGGTGAGCCCATGAGTTTGACATGTGCGTTTTATCCCTTTCTCCTTGTCATGATTTCAAGAATTTAATCCCTGTTGACAGCTTCTGGTTTGCAAACCTCACCAATGCTCACAAGACTGATTTTTTTTTTTATGCACAAGAAATGAAATGCTATTTCTGGGAGAAAATTAAAGCTCAAGCTTTCATCAATCAAACTTTTTTATTCCCCAAACTTAAAAATTTCACTTTAATTTTTTTTCCTCTTGATCTGTGCAAAAATAAATAAAAAGAAATTCTACATGGTGTCTGCCTCTGGATTGGATCGTTTGCGCTAACCCCCTCTTGGAGACGCTCCTCACGGCAGGTCTCCTCACAAGCCGGTTAAAGGAAGTGTTTGTGTCCCTGCAGGGAGGGCCTGGGTGGACATCGGGTACCATCAGGGTCGTGGCTGTGCCCTGCAGAGGCTGTCCTGGGGAGTGACCCTCAGTAATGGCGAGCAGGGACTCTCCTGTCTCTAACTCTGATCCATGATGCCTTTGCAGTGTTGCCTTGTCAGTCTACAGCTGCCACCAGGCTGCGTAGCTTGGAGGAGAGAGTCTTGAGCATCTGGCCCAGGGACTTCGTGGAGCCCATGGACAACACTGCCCATTGACTCAGTGTTGTCAGTGGACAGTAAGTGGGCATCAGTGAGCTGGGCTTCCATGTCCTCCAAGGCATCCACCTGACCGGCTGCCTCTATGAAGCAACCAGGAGGGGAAACTGTAGCCAGGCAGCTGCTCCAGCCACTGGGCTCACACGGCAGGAGCTTCCAAGTGGGTCTGTCTACTGTGTGGAGGAAGGGGAGGAGGGTGAGGAGGAGAAAGGGGGAGGAGGGAGGAGGAGGAAAAAAGTGGAGGAAGAAGAGGAGGAAGGAGGATAAAAAAAGTGGAGAAAGAAGAGGAGGAGGGGGAGGAGGAGGAGGAGGAGGAAAGAGGAGGAGAAAGAAAGAGGAGGAAGAAAGAGAAGGAGATGGAGGAGGAGAAAGGAAGAGGAAGGAGGAGGAAGAAAGAGGAGGAAGAAGAGGACGAGAGAGGAGGAAGAGAGGAAGGTAGAGGAGGAAGAAAGAGGAGGAAGAAAAGGACGAGGGAGGAGGAAGAGAGGAAGGAAGGGGAGAAAGAAAGAGGAGGAGGAAGAAGAGGAGGAGGAGGAGGAGGAGAAGGAGGAGGAAGAGGAGGAGGAGGAGGAGGAGGAGGGCTGAGACTGGAGGTGGAGAAGCCGAGTCCCGGGGCTTTGGGGACTGGCACAGCAAACTCTGAGCTCTGCTGACCTGTGCCCTCACTCCAGAGCCTCCTCTGCCCCCTGGAGACACAGAAACCGCTCTTACTCAAATTGCTGTTCATGTGAGCAGTCACCAGCCCCAGCTGTGTTTCCTCTGACCCGGGACCCTAAGCCCCCATTTTCAGAGCTTCCTGGGAGTTTGGGGTGATGATTGAGGCCTTTTGGAGGCTCCTTGGTCTGTAACTCTCCTCTCAGAGACATAGGGACAGCCTGGGGGACCAGAGTACATGGGCATCCTGGTCTGATCACATCCCCACAGTGGTTCAAGGTGTAGGGCTGTTTATGGGGGGGGGCGGGTCTCATGGGGGCCACAGCTGTTGGTGCTCAGGGATCACTCCTGTGTGCCGTCGTGGACATTAAACCCGGTCAGCTGTGCGCAAGGCAAGTGCTTCACGCCTGCCCATCTCTGCAGTTCTGAGGGATATGTTTAAGGGGGGAGAGAGTCCACGTTCAAAGTCTTCTCGATGGCCTAAGGAAGGGGACTCCGGGGGTTCTCAAGTGGTCATTTGGAAAGACTAAATAGCATCCACGTGATCTTCAGGGGGCCTGAGTCCCACTTTCCCTGCCCACCCAGACGACCGTCAGCCAACAGAAGTAGCCAGTGGAGGAGAAGTGTACTGCATCTCGTAGGAGCTTGGGTCCAACTTCAGTGAGAACTCCCATGAGAAGCAGCCTAAGGACAGCCTGAAACAACATGTGTTCACTGTCTTCATGCAGCAAGCAGATCCCTGTTGGGGAATGCGTAAGTGACCTGATGGAGCCTGACGACCGACCAGGCTCGGGCCAAAGGACAGGTCAGCTGAGGTCAGAATCCTGGCCAATGCCCAGTGAGCGGCCTGGAGGATAGGCGGTGCCCAGCACATCCAGAGTGAGGTTATATCTATGCCGTCCCCTCTGCCTGGCTCAGTGTGCCCAGCAAATAGCGCTGCCTGGGCTTGTTGTGTCCGTGTGGGGTGGAAGCCCCACGGTTTGCTGGCCAAGAGAACAAATCACAGTCTCCCTCTGCAGCCAAGGTCAGCAGCTGGACCTGCCGCCCCTTCGCTAAGTTGGGGGTCTAGTGGCTGGAGAGATCAATGGTCAAGTGGGTGGGGCACCTTGTCTTGTGTGTGGCTGACCCACGTCTGATCATGTGGTCACCTGAGCCCTGCCAGGAGTAAGCCCTGAGCACTGTCAGGCCAGGCCCAAGAAACAGAAACTCGAACAGAGCTATCTAAATTGGGGCTTCCCTAGGCATTCGACTCAGCAGGGCAGCCCTCACCCCTGCCCAACTCTCTGGAAGGGGCTGAGCAGACCCGCCAGCCCTCACCCCTGCCCAGCTCACTGAACAGGACTGAGCAGACCTGCCAGCCCTCATCCCTGCCTGGCTCTCTGGACAGGGTTGAGCAGACCCGCCAGCCCTCACCCCTGCCCGGCTCTCTGGAAGAGGCTGATCAGACCCGGCAGCCCTCACCCCTGCCCAGCTCACTGAACAGGGCTGAGCAAGCCTGCCAGCCCTCACCCCTGACTGGCCCTCTGGACAGGCCAACTCTAGACCTGCAGTCATGGTAAGTTTCGCTGGGACGCTGGGATGAGCCTTCGGCAGACTCAGGACAGTGCTGGCTGGCTTTGGGACGGTCAGACCCCAGCCCCTCTCCCCCGTGGCCAGCCAACGCTGTCTCTGTTCTAACCCCAGCTCAGCAGCGGCGATTCTGGGTGATCTATTCCCGTAGATTCGCAAAGGAGTGGAGAGCAATGGCTTCTTCCTTCCTCTTCTCTGGGGCCCACCCTTCAGAAAGAAAAGTCATCACTTGGGGGAAGAAACCTTGGGCTCAGCAGTAAGGGCTACCTATTTATTTATCTCCCGCGATGGGCTGGGCAAAGCCGGCGTGTTCTTTGTACCCCAGAAACTTCAAACTATTGTAGGAAGAAGTGGCAATTCTGCTTATTTCTGGTACTATATGGCCCCCGCCCGCACCCCAGAGGCCTCAGAGATCAAATTTCCCTAGAGATGAGGAATAGCTGGTTCAACTCTGTGTCTGCATCTTGGGGACAGGCCCTATAAAGTCACTTGGAGAAAATAAGATGTGACCGCCTCCTCCTGCCTGGTGGCCCCCCAGAATACCCAGCTGTGCT